AAAAAACCCAGAAAGGTTTGAGCTAAAATATACTTCTCTACAGCAGCTGAGTAAAATTACGGTTCCTTCCCTGTACAAATATTAATGTCATACTCAAGGTGAGACTGCTGCCACACCTGCTCCTGCAGCATTTTTAAGCCCCTGTCTAATTAATTTCACTGAACAGACCGGTTACCGGGTTTGTCAAAATTACAGATTAGTATTAGTACAAACGAGCCAACCTGTGCAATAAATAAGTGAGTATATATCATTCCCTTATTCGTTGTTTTAGACAGATATTTCCCTGACAAAGTCAAATGTATTCTGAAAATCTTGATTTTAACTTTAAATTTGCCATTTATATAAAAAGATTATGAGCTGCAGAGATATTTTTCTGTTTCAGCAATACATTTCAGGCTTTTCATGAGTCTAGTGATGTTACATCTAAATTATAATCTGCAGATCACAGTGGATCTATAAAGGCACAAAACCTTCATATATTGAGTTTCTGATAGAAAACAACAGTGATTTATGTTTGCATGATGTATTTATCCATAGAAATAATGGTGTCACATCACAACAGCAAGAATTGCTTTTAATGACAAAAAAATTTAACAGTATACTTAAAACATGATGTCAAACTGTCTCTGCAAACTATACCAACAGGATGATGTGTCAACCTTTGCATATATGCTTTGACTGTTTGTGGCTTTACTCACAGACTTGCATTCATTATGGCTTTACAGTAACTACAGCCGTACACCGTCCATGGCTAGACCTTTACAGCTAAAACATTGTTTGATTCGCTAAGCCTTTAGAAAAGAGTCATGACAAATGCATATATCTGTAAATTAAACTGTAGATAAATGTACATTAAATCTTCAAAAGGTTTTGAGGGATTTCAAAAATAATGCTGTGCAATATTTCATGTAGTGTGAGGTAGGAAGTATATCCACAGTTTGCTGTGGAAACACCAGGTGCCATTCTTTAAATAATCGTAACCAATTTAAAAAAAAAAGAAAAAATGAAAGAAAAATCAGTGACATATTTTGCTCTTGTCAGAAACATATGGAAGGACAATTTGACAAACAGACAAAAAACAAACTAAAAACCAGCAAAAAACAACTTAAACAT